GGTGGAAGGTGTTGGTGAAGTGGATGAACTGTTCGAGCTCCTCGTGGGAGCACAAGGCGGCGCCGATACAGTCATCAATGTAACGGAGGAAGAGGTGGGGTTTAGGGCCGGTGTAGGTACGGAAGAGGGATTGTTCCACGTAACCTACAAAGAGGCAGGCGTAGCTTGGGCCCATGCGGGTACCCACGGCCACCCCCTTTGTCTGTAGGAAGTGGGAGGAATTGAAAGAGAAGTTGTTGAGGGTGAGGACGAGTTAAGCTAAGCGGATGAGGGTGTCAGTGGAGGGGAACTGGTCGGGCCTGCGGGACAGGAAGAAGCGGAGGGCCTTTAGGCCATCTGCATGGGGAATGCAGTTGTAGAGGGACTGGATGTCCATGGTAAAGATGAGGTGTTGGGGACCGGGGAATTGGAAGTTTTGGAGGAGGTGGAGGGCGTGGGTGGTGTCACGGACATAGGTAGGGAGTTCCTGGACCAAGGGGGAGAAAATGGAGTCCAGATAGTTGGAGATCAGTTCGGTGGGGCAGGAGCAGGCGGAGACCATGGGTCGACCAGGGCAGTCAGATTTGTGGATTTTGGGAAGGAGATAGAAGCGGGCAGTGCGAGGTTGGGGAACGATGAGGTTGGAGGCCATGGGTGGGAGGTCACCTGAGGTGATGAGGTTGTGGATAGTTTGGGAGATGATGGTTTGTTGCTCAGGGCTGGGGTCATGATCAAGGGGGCGGTAGGAGGAGGTGTCGGAGAGTTGGCGTCTGGCCTCGGCGATGTAGAGGTCAGTGCGCCATACTGCAACTGCACCTCCCTTGTCCGCGGGTTTTGTGGTGAGGTTGGGATTGGAGCGGAGGGCTGCACGTTCTGTGGGGGAGAGGTTGGAGTGGGTGAGAGGGGTGGAGAGGTTGAGGCGATTGATGTCTCGACGGCAGTTGGAGATGAAGAGGTCGAGGGAGGGTAGGAGGCCTTGGGGTGGTGTCCAGGAGGAGGGGGTGTGTTGGAGGTGGGAGAAGGGGTCAGTAGAGGGAGGGTTAGGTTCACGGTTGAAAAAGTAAGCGTGGAGGTGGAGGCGGCGGAAAAACTGCTCTATGTCCAAGCGTGAGCGGTATTCATTGATCTGTGGGTGGAGGGGGACAAAGGTGAGTCCTTTACTGAGGACTGACCGTTCGTCCTCAGTAAGGGGTAGGTCTGGGGGGATGGTGAAGACTCGGCAGTGCTAGGTGCTATTGTCCCCTCTGGAGCTACTGGCTGTGGAGGCTGTGGGCGGAGCCACGTCTGTGTCGGCTGTGGGCGGAGTTGCGTCGGCGTCGGCTGTGGGCAGAGTTGCGTCGGCGTCAGTGCGTCAGCGGTGGGCGGAGTTGCGCCGGCAGTGGGTGGAGTTGTGTCCGCGTCGGTGATGGGCGGAGCGGCAGCGGCGGTGGGGGGAGCGGGGTAGGCGGCGGCAGTAGCGGTGACGGTAGTCGCGACTTCAGTGTCGGTGGTGTTGGTCTCGGAAATGGAGGTGGTGGCATCGGCAGCGATGGTGTTCGCTGTCCCTGAAATGGGGAACCCGGCGGTGGCGGATGTGACGTCATCTGTGGGTTCCCCGATAGTGGCCTCATGGCCAATGGCGGCGGCACATTGTGCGGAAGGTCCTGGGTACGGCTGGGGATTTGGGGGGTGGAGGAAGCCCGTTTTGGGTGGTAGGCACCAGTAAGTTTACTGTACTTACGGTTTTTAGTGTCCAATAAAGCTGAGTACAATTACTGACATCACCCCAGGCCTCCACGATAATGTCGGTTGCATTCTTGATTTTAAAGCTCTTCCAAAATTGAAGAACACTGTCCTTAATCCCCCTCAGTGACTGCAATCAGCCTCTTAAATGTGTGCCTTAAATAATATGCATTAATAGCTGCTACTACACCCTGATCCATGGGTGGAAAGAGAGAGGTTGTGTTTAGGGGTAGAAATAGCACTTTTGATGTTTTCAGAAAGCTCGTCATTGGTAGGAAGATGGATTGGTGCATTATCCAGGAGGAGGAGAATCTTGAAATCCTTTTTTTTTCCGCAGTACTTTCTAAAAACATCTCCCTAAACATCAACAATAAGGTCACTGATGGAATCTTGTTATAGCCAACACAAGTTTGCGTTTTAGAAATAGCGTTCCCCTATTCGTCAGTCATGTTACAGCCAATTCACATTGCCGGAACATGCATTATAGCAGAAGCCCCTATACATTTTATTTTGCAAAACTATATTGACTTTGTCTGTTCACTTTAATTTTCTACGTGTATTTATTTTGACTCTCTTAAAAATTGATTCCAGTATTTTTTCAACAAATAATGTCAAATTAACTGGATCACAGTTACCAGTTTACCCTCTCCCTCCTTTCTACAATAGTGGTGTCACATTTGGTAACTTCCAATCTGTACAAACGTTTACCCTCTGTTTCTGATATGTAAATTCTATCTCCCAGTATGAAGACTGACACCAATATTTGTTTTATGCCCGCCATTACCTTGTTCCCATGACAATCTCTCCTGTCTCATCTAAGGAAATAATGTTTATTTTGGTTTCTTGCCTCCTTTTTATATATTTGAAAAGGCTCGCAAAATTTGTTATTTATCTTTGGCAAGTTAACTCTCATATTCTACATTTTCTCCCTTATTTAACAACTTTTTGGCTGCCATTTGATGGCTTTGAAAGCATTTTGGATGGTCAGACATAGCACCATTCTTTGAAACGGCATAAGCCTCTTCCTTCAATATTGTACTATACTAACTTCCCTAAAAAGCTACAGATGGATCTTTCTTGATGAGTTTTATCTTCTAATGCAACATATTTTAATGCTTTAAAATGTTTCCCATTGTTTACCACCATACATTTAAGCAACAACTTTAGCCAGCTCTTCCCTCATACTTATGCAACTGGCTTTAGCTTGCAATTCTTGTTTGGAGGTCATATATGTTGATTTTAAACTTAACATGGAGTCCAATTTATTGAATTACTAGCTAGCATGTTGAAAGTGTAGGGGTTGGGAGCAGAAACATTGTCTGCAACATTGTAGGCTACACGAACAGCATCAGAAAGAGACCAAACGCCCCGACACACTCATCACACCAGCCCATATCAGGAACACGTTGGAACTCACCACAAGACTCCTACGACCGCTGGGTATCAGAATGGCACACAAGCCCACACCAACCCTACGACAACTACTCACCCGAACCAAGGACCCACTCCCCGCCATGGACAGGACCAATATGATCTACAAAATCCCCTGCAGAGACTGTGAGAAACATCGGACAAACATAAAGGAAACTAACAACAAGAGTACATGAACACCAACTGGCTACAAAAAGACACGACCAATACTCACTCATCTCAATCCACATGGACAAGGAGAACCACCACTTCGGCTGGGACAACACCAAGATCCTGGGACAGGCTAGGCAGAGACAGGCACAAGAATTCCTAGAAGCACGGCACTCCACGAAGCATGCTATCAATAAACACATTGAACTTGACCCCATATACATTCCATTACGAAGGAAAACTGGAAGTGAGGCAATCCATCTCAACGGACCCCAGAGTTTAAAAACCAGGCGGGAAAACACACCGACGTTTCATCGGAGGCTGCACTGAGGATGTTACCAAGCATGGTAACGAAATGTCTGTGAAACAAGAAACCAGCTCGGTGAGCCAACCAACCTCAATAACCTCAACACCCACAACCCGAGCTACAAATCTACTCCAACACCTTGTCTTTCGTCTGTCCTAAATAGCACAGTGGTCGTGTCACATTGTACAGAATGTCCATATGATGGAGATTTTTTTATTCACAAATACTACGTAGTGGTTATTTCAATCTTTGAAAACATGAATAGATTTGCTCATCAGGGAGGTGTCGGTACAACTGAAGTCAACAACTTCTCGTATCACCAGACAGAGGTTAAGTCAGAGAAACAGGTCCATCAAGCTAGTCATGACAGTAATGGCACCATTTGGACTGCAAAAGTTAATTTATAAAGCAAAAACATAAACTAGTTTACATTCCCTGAAATTTTGAAAATGAAGGAATAATCTGTTTAGATTTTTCAAGAAAGTAGAGGAGCAGATAGGGCTTATATCATAAGTTGATTCCCTGTCACTCTTCTTAAAATTGTCTTTTTACTTTGATCAGGATGTCTATGACCAGTGGGCATAGTCTAGGAATTACAGCTAGATTTCTCAGAAGTGAAATTATGAAATACTTTTACAGACAAAAGGTATATACCATCTATGTGATGCGCTGTAGCAAATCACCAAAGCTCCTTTGACTACATCTTCCAAACTATCAGAACTTTACCAGCTAGAAGGACAAGCACAATGGAGAAATGGAGATACCGCCATCTACAAGTCACTCAAAATCTTGAATTAGATAATGTCTCCTTTCTTTGACTGTTATTGGATAAAAATCCTAGAACTGGTTCCCTGGCAGTACTGTGGGTGTGATTACACCAAAGAGACTGCAGCGTTCAAGAAGGCAGTTCTTTACCACCTTCTCAAGGATGATAAAGAATGAACAATGAATGGTGGCCTTGCCAGCAATGTCATGTCCCAAGAACAGATTAAAGGAAAAAAAAGGAAATTTCTTTAACAAATGGCAATTAGTGCTAGATCAATTGTAAATTTTAATTTTGGCATTGACAGATTTTTGTTATCCAAAGATATTGATGGCCAAGTTAAAGTTCATTCACAGAGCAGCTACAATCTTAATGAATGGTAGCTCAGTCTTATGCTTTATGCTGTACTTCATCTCTGACAATAGTAGGAAGTAGATTTCAATATCAGACCAAACCTCAATTTCTGAAACTAATAATTTTACCTTTGTCTTCATCAGAACTATCCTCGTGTTAAAGCAAACCAAGCAGAAGAGGCAAGAGAGTTTAAGCTTCCATTATTCATTGTAATTTTTTGCAACATTACAGATATACAGTGTTAAGCCAGTGTCCTCAACATAAAAAGATTAAGAAATTTTCTCCACTACTTACCATGGGTCCTGGTGGTCCAGGTGGTCCTTGAAATCCTGGGAGACCTTGTTTACCCTGGCACAATTAAAAGATGATTTTACAATTTAAATCATGCTTTTTAATTAAATAATTGAAGCAAACTGAATTATTCCCTAATTTGGATTTTAGTACATTTCACACACTACATCACATGATGCTAGAAATGATTTACACCAGGGGCCAAATTTTAACACCCTAATGCAGTTAACATCCTAATGGTGTTACAAACTTTCAGTGAATTAAATGGGTTTTCGAAGCCCATATGAAACACATTAGAATAAAGGGCTTGTAAGTCAAGGGGAACGTCTATTCTGGAATTGGGAATCTTTTGATAGCTAGGTTTAAAAGTTGTCGACAATTTCACATGTTATAAACAAATCCATTGTGGGCAGCGAGCTTGCCATGTGTGGGTTTCTTCACATTATGCCATTTGCCAGCATCTAATATGTGTGATGGGATCATGTTAGCAATCACACTTTTGTCGATTTTGGCTTTAGATTGATTTTGTCATTGAATGCTGGTGACTGCTTCTGTAAATGAGCATACACTGTACTCCATTCATGACTTAGCTGGTCTATTGATTTTGTTTAACTGTTATTTTTGTTGTTGCGGAGTCTAAAGGTTGAAGGTGTTGCTGTCCTGCAATGGCGACTTTGAACACTTGTCCAACACCTGATTGTACATCAATGGTATGTTCTTTACTTCGACCTATGTATTTTTCAGTGTTTTGTTTGGTGTAGAAGTTATTACCCATTCCGTGAGTCTTTTCCCAGTTCCTCCCTGCTGAAGTCACACACTGCAACTTTGTACTAACATCTGTCAACACATTGGTTAATAGTTTCACTTAGTTATTGCTTGTAGGAAATGAATTTGAGTCTGTGAATTCTGAAGTATGCTCTGACTTGAACTGGCTGACCTTCTATGTGGTTGCCAATTTTTTAGGCTCTTTCTGGTTATTGTTGGAAAAACCTGAAGAATTACCTCTTTTCCTAAATCAATGAGGAGTTTAATCGCCTTATTAAACTATTAATAAGGTCAACTATTTGTTGGTCAACGAAGTTGAGTTTCATTCTTTCTATAATTGGAACTTTGTTGTAAGTAGCTTTCCAATCCCATTAATTCAAGATGACCATCATTAACTTCAAAAGTAAGAAACAATATGGAGTCTTGCACATCATTCTTGTGTTTTGCATCTCTTCCAAGTATTAAAATGATGGAATCAAATTATGATTCAACAGAGGACAGCACTTAAAAGCACTGGGAGCATGCCTGGTACTCTGGCTGGGGATCACTGAAAAAGAGGTAGGTTTTGCTGTTTTGAGAGTATAGCTGGATTTCTGACCGCATTGGGTCTGTCACAGATCTCCTCAAACATTGTGGATTGCAGCAATGGATTTGCTGTTTACAACCTGCAAAACCTAAGTGACTGACTCTGGACTTCCAACCTTGAAGCTGTGGTCGCAACAAATCTGAGTTGCTGTTTGATATTGCGCTTGTATTCAGATACCTCTCTTAATTTTTTAAATTATTTAGTCTGTTTCATTGAAGCGTATTAGCTAGGAAGTTAATCCATCACAGTTCTACTGAATAGGTTACACTCACAGATCTTGAACAGTCTGCACTGCTGCTGAATAAATTGAAGCAATTTTACTCTGATGTTTGCTTACATACAGACTTCTATCCAAGACTCAGTGATGTAGCTGTCATGACGATGAGTTGTGACATTAAGACTATATAGGCAAATGACGATGGATTTCTTGACTTTAACTAGAGAGGGTGTAAAGCATTAGTCATTGAACAGTCTTCTAGAATATTCTCCCCACACTACGCACCATCTGTTACCACAATGTGTTCTTGTGTTATTATGTTTGTTCTTGTAATATGAATATTGAGATGGAACTCTGACCAAGAACAAGTCTTAAAAGATTTATTGATAGAGTTCATAGATACATTTAAACTCTCTTATAGACATATATATAGTCTAGGTTCTATCACTTAACGCACTGGTTGACTGACTTTCCAGAGTGACTGAAAATGCGAGTAACCAGATACCTTACATTTTGGGATTATAAACTGAAGTAAACATTGGACTGCAAGAACTGAAAGACCAGAAGAGATCTGCAACTTAAAAACTACTGAATATTTTTGGGCTCTGCAATACAATGTTGCTTTCTGAAGCAGTGGAGGGAGAATTTGACACTCAGCAGCACTGAGGATCTTTTAATGAAATTCTGCCTGACGTAAGCCCTCTGATTGATTGAGCTGCAGAGCGCTAAAAGCTTTAAGTACCAAGGCAGCAAAGAGAGAAACATCCAGAATCTGCAGACAGAAAGCATTTACCTCTCCCTCTTCTGCGCTCTTTCTGCATGGGAAAAGGTCAGGTAAACCAAGAAAGCTTAAAATAAATAAAATTTTAAAACAAGACCCAGCTCCACTTGATCAAAGAACAACTGTCATGCTACAAATAACAGTATATTATCTTTGTTAAAATAAAAAGGATTGTGTAAAATATAAATTGTTGACTAGACTTCTGATCTTCAGTATTTTGTGTACCTTGTCTAGATTCTTTTCCAATCATAGTATATATGTTAAACTGTTTGCCTTTTGTTTGTCTTAATTGTGATTGAATGAACATGTCCTTAGGGGTTTTGAAGGGGTATACTTTCAGTTGAATAGTAGTAAATTAGAAATCAGTTCTTTTCTCCATTTTTTATAAAAGTTAAGTGTTATAAAAATGGAGGTATTTTTCTTTGCTGACAAAACCTGATGAGAATTACTTTTGTCCTGAACAGCAGTCAGACAAATTAGTCATTGGAATTTTAAATATTTGTAGATTTTGGGTGGCTTGAGGAACCGTGAAGCACAATGATTGGCAAACTCTTCCTCGTGAGTCATGTCATAAAGTACAATTTACAGCTATTCAAGCTAAGCTAATACAGGAATGTTACATGGCATGATGTCACAGGGATGGCATCACCTGGCTCTCAAAAGTTACATGTTTGCCTGTTCATTGATACATGCAATATTATAACTAGTATGAGGTTATGGACAGCATATTTTGGATCAGAGATAGTAGGAACTGCAGATGCTGGAGAATCCGAGACAACAAGGTGCAGGGCTGGATGAACACAGCAGGCCAAGCAGCATCATAGGAGCAGAGAGGCTGATGTTTCGGGCCTAGACCCTTTTTTGGAGGTTGTCAATCTAGGAATACATTGGAACAGTTAAGTTGAAAGGTAACAAAGACATGGATAAGGGTAGTCAAGTGATGTTACGTAGATAGAAATAGGTGGTTTTAATGATGGTGTGAATATGCGTTCAGAAGCTGATCTTGGGATCAAATATGATGCAAAGATTATAAATGGCGTTATTCAAACTCAGATAGTTGCCACAAAGAGAGATGGTTTGGTAGCTGGACATGAGAATTATTAGCCAGCACTGAAGAGAATTGCTTTCCTCATCCCATTATTAAAGTGAAAGAAAACTTACATCCAGTTCTGGATTTTAGATAAGCAGCTTGATAATTTAGCAAAAATGGAGGTGTTGAAAGAGGTGATGTTGATATTGAAGTGAATATTGTGAAACAATACATATGCAAACAAATGTGCTTTCAGATGAGGATCATGATGATGAAACAGAGGAGGAGAAATGGGGCACACCAGAGCTAATGATGTGGGAATAGGATGAGAGCAAACTCTCATCATCCTGCAATTTGGAAGCCCGCTATAAGACCATAAGACATCAGAGCAGAATTAGGTCATTCAGTCAATTGAGTCTGCTCTGCTTTTTAATCATGGCTGATATATTTCTCAATTCCATTCTCTTGCCTTCTCCCCATAACCCTTGATCACCTGAATAATCAAGAACCTATCTATTTCTGTCTTAAATACACTCAATAATTTGGCTGCTATAGCCTGCTGTGGCAATGAGTTCCACAGGTTAACAAACCTCTGGCTGAAGAAATTCCTTTTCTCAGTTCTAAAGGACCATCACTTCCCTCTGAGGATGTGCCCTTGGGTCCTAGTCTCTCCTACTAGTGGAAACAGCTTTTTCATATCCACTCTGTATTCTGTAAGCTTCAATCAGATGCCCCCTCATCCTTCCAATCTGCTCCTTGTATGACAAGCCCTTCTTCCCTAGGATCTTTCCTGTAAACATCTTCTGGACCCCCTCCAATGCCAGCACATCCTTCCTTACATATAGAGCCCAAAACTGCTCACAATATTCCAAATGCTGTCTAACCAAAGCCTTATACAGCCTGAGCAGTATATTTCTGCTCTTGTATTATAGCCCTCCTAAAATTAATGCTAACTTTGCATTTGCTTTCCTAACTGCCAAATAAACATGCATGATAACTTTGAGAATCCTGAAGCAGCACTCCCAAGGCCCTATGTCCTTCAGGTTTCCAAAGCCTTCCTCCATTTAGAAAATAGCCTACTTTTCTATTCTTTGTCTAGTGGATAACATTGTTGTCTTTGAGTCAAAAGAATGTACTCAAATCCTATTCCACTGTTTTTTTTTCTATTCATTTGTGGAATGTGGGCATCGCTGGCCGGCCAGCATTTCTTGCCCATCCCTACTTGCCCTTGAGAAAGTGGTGGTGAGCTGCCTTCTTGAACCACTGCAGCCCTCCTGCTGTGGGTTGACCCACAATGCTATTAGGGAGGGAATTCCAGGATTTTGACCCAGTAACAGTGAAGGAACGGCGATATATTTCCAAGTCAGGATGGTAAGTGACTTGGAGGGGAACTTGGAGGTGGTGGTGTTCCCATACATCTGCTGCCTTGTCCTTCTAGATGGAAGTGGTCATATGGAAGGTGCTGTCTGAGGATCTTTGGTGAATTTCTGCAGTGCATCTTGTAGATCATACACACTGCTGCTACTGAGCGTTGATGGTGGAGGGAGTGAATGCTTGTGGGTGTAGTGCCAGTCAAGCGGGCTGCTTTATCCTGGATGGTGTCAAGCTTCTTGAGTGTTGTTGGGGCTGCACTCATCCAGGCAAGTGGGGAGTATTCCATCATGCTCCTGACTTGTGC